TTGTGCAGTGAGCTGGCCGGATAAACGGGATTGAGACAGCCGATCCTACAGCTAGACACTTGTTTTTTTTGCCATTGCTACATGAGGCACGGTGGACAGTGGTCCGTGTCAACCGACACCGTTGGCTCAACCTCCTCCGGAGCAACTACACAGGTCCCATCTACTTGGGGAACACGAAGACGGTTGTGGGGAGCCACCGAGCATCCCGTGAGAGGCGTATGCACCAGTGGAATTCCTCGAGTCAAAATTAAACATTTTAAACTTACTGTGACGATAGACTCCGCGATGAAAAAGTGAAAGTAACTATGCACTTTTTCTATGGAAATTTTTAATAAGCGTTTCTATGCGACATATTGCTTTAAATATTGTTGGTGTTGACACTGCTATGCCCCGCGCTGCTGTTCCGTGGAATTTATTCCCGGAAACGGCCCCGAGACGGCGCCGCCCATGTGGCCCCGTCGGCGCAGGTGCCCCCTCCCGCGCCGGCCCGCGCGTGCGCGGCGCTCGCTCAACGCGACGACGACGGACGAGCCGAGAGACGCGGCGCCCCCTGGCGGCGCGGGAGAAGCGGGCGTGTCCGTCCCCCTACTACGGGCGGCGCCCATCGCCGGGTCTACTTCGCTTGGCCGCGCGGCGGACGACCGAGGGCGGCTCGCCCGGCAGCCAGCCTGGTGGCGCGGTGCCGCAGGCAGGCCTCGCTCGGTTCCTCCGCGGCCCGACGACCCGCAGCCGCGAACCCCTGAACGGCGCGCCCTCGTCGGGAGACCCGACGGCCGGCGGACTCGTCGAGGTGTCTAGTGTCTACCTCGCGGCGTTCTATTATTATTTATCACTTGAGAGGCGAAGGGTGTGTCTGTTTCTAGTGGCTTGCATGTTGGGGGAAGCGATAGTGCTGAGGCCGATATATTTCCCTCATGCGCGTGAGCCTGCGCTATCCTAACACTGTTTGCTCGTGGTTGTTAGAGAGCTGACGCTTACTCGTTCCGGCATCTACAGGTTTTTGACGGAACATGCCATATCCTGCCAGCTACCCTTGTCGTCAGAGCAGGAGTATGAGGTGAGTGAGAAGGAGGAGGAGGGTTGCGGCAGTCAGGAAATTGTATGACGGCAATCTCGTTCGTGAATGCGTCGGCTAGCCAGTGGCAGTGCGCGATTCTTGTGATTTTGACTGCCGATTTATTTGTTTGTACTCTGGATTTGTTGTGTTTTTCAGCAAAGAAGAAGATTCTATATACTAATCTTGAATAAGCTTCTAATAGTGTCAGTCATGGTAGAGGCATGTCCCTCCATCGTCACTGTGGTCGCCTCTTTGGTGATGTTTTTTCCCAGCACGCCTAATTTTAGAATATCAAGTTGAGACAATGAACATATTATAACAGGGAAATACGCAACGAGTTTGGGACGATGTCGAAGCTGGGGTCAAAGGTCAAGAGTGTGTATATAACAACAAAAAAGTGACATGAATACGGTTCACATTCTCAAGAGTTCATAAACGATTAGTAAAATATTTGTTTATTCTATCTCCAATGATCAGCTCTCAAAGAAATTGACAATTTAATAAATGCAGATTACTTCAACATATGCGGTGACTCTGTGGTGGAGTGGTGGGATTCTAGTAAACCCTGTTAGACCCAAATATGTTCACATACGCGCCGAAACAGTGGAAGGCACAACGGAAGGCACATCAGGAACCTTCTCGAAGGAATGTTCGTTGGGATCGTTATGAAAGTTACGAGATAGCGCGTACGTTTAAGTGTCTTAAGATTAAAGATGGAAGCTCCCATCGTACGTAGTAGCAACAACTATTTGCAAGACAGAATAGGTAAGCACTGATCCATTTACCTATGCAAGCCTACAGGCTGAAATAGAGAGCTGCCACTTGTAACTAATTAACGCAGGCAAAAACTACACAGTACACTACCACCAACACATGCACTGGCAGTGGCATACGTTACATGTAACACACTGACAGTACTTACAGAATGCCATAGAAATTATACGATTTAAGGAGCATAAACCTTCTTCAACCAAATTTAGCTTTTGAAATTTCACTGTGACATTGTAGCCTCATACATCCAGGCATATGTATAGATTCTACTAGCAAACCAGGCAATCAAATTCTTTCTAACAGTAAACAAATCCATGTTTAACACTCCTCTTAAGGGTCAAAAGGTTATCCGACACTTACTCTTTGCATGTCATTGACCTTTGACCTGTGACCTCCAGTTTCGGCACAGTGATGGCTTTTCCTACCATGATGCTATACACCGACTATCACGAGCCTAGGTCGAGCCGTTTAGATTTGTCCCGCAATTCTGCATTTCCTCCCTATACCTTAAGTTAAGGAGGGAATGTTCCCCCTTCTTTTACACTTCTTGACCTTTGACCTTTGACCCCCAGCTTCGACACCAACTCGGCTCTCATCATTTCGGCAACACAGTCCAGTTTTTGCCTAGCTCCTACACCCTATTCCAGCGATACTTCTCCGCTCTACCTTCCACCGACCTACCTTCACCCCGCCGAGCGCCTCCGCGAACCGCAACTCTAAGGTACGACATTACTTGTATTCGATGCGAGTTCGATGTTACGACGCGGAGACATCTGTATAGTATCACATGAGTGTGTTTGATTAGAGTGAAATAGACGCACGAGCAGTAGTTTTCATAATACTGTGTTTTCTGTTCATAATACGGTGTGACGCAACCTGGCGCTACCTTCAAAACGGGTGCCACTACGGCACCTACTAAACTGAGAACCTGGTAACGGGAAGTAAAAGCCTACCCTAGAAATATCAAAATTGATATTAGATCATATGATGATGATTAGATAATATGATTTTAAATTGATTTGATTTTAGACGTTGACCGATTAGTCAACACACAAGACAGTCGATGTAAAAAAAATGGCAACAAAAATTTTACAAATTTTACCATAGCAAATTCGTGACGTAGCCAATTTAAACAATCCTGTTTTAATATATTCGTTTGTAACACTACCTTGAAAATGAATGCTGAGATATAATACAAATTCACAAATTTTACTATAGGTAATAAATTTTATAATGAAGTAGTATGATGGGTGATGTACAAGACAGCCTAATAAAAGAATTTCTTTCAGCAACCTGTCACACTTACCTCAACTGTTCAACAAACTGCCTGGCAGCTCAGCGCATTGTTTCACATCTTCCTCTTTCTAAAAAAGAAGGTTTGAAGACAATATACAGTTAATTTTTTCATCTACCAAAAGTTTCTTATTTGTACTTGGTGAGGACTCATGACAAGTACTAAGAACTGGATGACAACAACTTAATTATAAACATCACAAATACTGATAATAAAACGGACAAAATTTATTACGAGTCTACGGGAACATAGGGAAATAGCAACTGTGCATAGAGATAAACTGCAGATGTGAGAAATGAGGGAGAGTTCGATAGCAAGTCTAACCAGCATTACCCTTTTTGAGCCGAAAATCAGTTTTTGCCGAATGAATCCAATTAGCTCCACGTGACTCATATACTCAACCAAGCAATAAATGAATTGTCAGAGTTAAGGAGGGAATGTTCCTCTTCTTTTACACCTCTTGACATTTGACCTTTGACCCCCAGCTTCAACATCCAAACTCGTTTTCGGATTACCCCCCTACGTCCCGAATATCGTGACCGTACGTCGAGCGGTTAAGATTTGTGCCCAACTGTTGACGGACAGACGGACGGACGGACAGACGCACGGACGATCATGCGATTCTACAAGCTGCATCTGACTACGTCAGATGAGCTAAAAATTATATAACACGCTGTATAGAGCTTACTGATTTCTTGGTGAAGGAGGTGGCGTTTGCATGCTTGTTTCCTAATACAGCAAAAAAGAACTCTACAGGTCTATATATTTATGAGTAGTCAGTAACTTTACATAGGTGATAAAGAATTATGCAATTTGAGTATTTTTTTCTACTAGCAACCTAGGTAATCTCTAACAGTCATAATGGATTCGTCTCACGTGACTCATATACTCAACCAAACAATAAATAAATTGTCAGAGTTAGTGCTCCCAACTATGGGCGGACACAAGTTACTCTTGATTTTTCTTCACAAAGTGCCAACTACATTCAAGAATACAAGGTAAAGACTTTTACTTCAGCAAAGAGGGAGTTTCCCTTCTTGTTCGGATCCACTGTTTGCATCTCAAGCTGATGAATCACAACTTGCAGCTCCTGGCATTCATCCTTATATTTCTAAAGGGAACAGACAAATGTTGTACTTATTACGTATAACTTGCTTTTCTATTAAGAGAGTATGATATTTATAATAAGTATTATCCTATCCTGACACTACGTTTATATTTGTGACGGCTTAGCGCGTTCTCTGCAGTATCACACAGCAGAAAATCAGCCAACTTATTCACCTGAAGCGCGTTCATCCCGTAGCTCCGCCATCCGGCCATCGTCAAGGCGAAAGCCACGCCCATGCTGGCGAGGATCAACACACCTCCGCTGGCGCCCGCCCATCCCTAACGCGAGGCTAGAGGCCGCCACCGTCGTTGCCAGCAGTGCCAGCATGTAGTAAGAGATCTGGAAGCCGAACATCCAGTATGTTATGGTGGCAAACAGGGTCGTGGGTATGATACGCATCGGCACTATGTCACAGAACAACTTCGCGAGGAAGTAGGCGGGAACGCGATAGAATCCACCGATTGTCTCGTGTATAAATATGTGTCGTTCGTTGAGGAAAAGCTCCACAGTTGAAAGGTTGCCTGACTGATCTGATCTCCCTTCATGCGGTTCCTCTCTAGCTCTCTCCCTTCTCCCCATCCTACACTCTCTCGCTCCCCTCACAGATACTATGGCGGGGTCGTCGCACCTTCAGCTTTGCCTCGTCCGGTCCCTTCGCCTGACTGATCTGATCTCCCTTCATGCGATTCCTCTCTAGCTCTCTCCCTTCTCCCCATCCTACACCCTCTCGCTCCCCTCACAGATACTATGGCGGCATCGTCGTATCTTAAGCTTTGCCTCGTCCGGTCCCTTCGCCCGACTGATTTGATCGCCCTTCATGCGATTCCTCGTCCGGAACGTCTTTAGCATGCCGCATAGGTATGCGCTCGTTTGTCACGTGCTCGCAACATGTGTAACATTATATACTGTTTAATTAGAATTAGTTAATTTCATAAAATGTGTGGAAAATCGGGCAAAGTTACATCAATTCAGTCCGTATATACCAACACTCTGAACTCTCATAAATCGTCATCAGAAGCTGACAAGCTACATTAAGTCGAATTAGAAATTCACTCCAAACATTTCAAGTGTAATTATAATCGAAAGACAACAAGAGCCTTAGAGTATATAATATTCTGGGTGACTAATTGGTTTATCAACCTGTTGTGATTGACAGGCAGCCATCATCAAGCAGCATTGTGATAGAACCTTATATAGACGAAGCTTTGTAATGAAATACCGTCAGATTGACAATTTGGATTGTAGATGTGTTAGACCACATACAAACCGGTGAGCTTTACCAAATTAGAAACAATATTCAAGGGGGTGTAGTCCTCATGTTTAAGGCAGTGAAAATAAGTGCATACATGGCTCTTGCTGTTCCTACCTCTACTTGAAGACGTCGGCTTGAACTTACCATTTCAGGAGACTCAGTAGACCTCAGTAGAACTTTTTGTCCCGGCTCTCCAGCTTTTCTTGAAGTTTTGCCTTGGTAGTTTTAAGAGTTGAAAAAAAAAATTTGTCTTTTCAGTTTTACAATAAAAATACTGTATTTAATGCAAATAAATGGTCTACTCCAAAATGCGAAAGCGAGAGTGACGTCGCATCGTGGGGGGAGGATGTTTCGAGCGAAACTAGGATCTCACACCGAGGTGGCACTGGTGCTGTTTTAAGGCACAATCCGAGGAACAAGAATGGGCTCGAAGCTAATGATTTGTTCCATTTGAGCCCGTGTGCCATTGTGTTAGATGTTAGGCGAGTTGTATCGATTTGACTTATGATTTAATTGTTCAATATGTAAACGTTGGTATTAGCATGTAATAGGCTACTGTTTAACATGTAACGTTCAATGTGTAATCGTAAAAGTTTAGTGAATTACAGCACTTGTAATGCTGCTGTCGATAGACCACAGCCACTTGTGTAAATAACCTATACTAAGCCATTCAAGGTCAAGGCTTACCGTGAAGCACACTGCATTATTATAGCTGGAATTTTGACTGTAATGTGATACTGCAAGTTGCAGTTGAGTTAGTGTGGAATTTAACCAATTTATCTGGATTTAGTTAATGTTATGTGGAGGAATTGTAGTGTAGGAGCTTCAGGTAATTTAAAAGAATCTTGTTTTACTGGTTCGTCTCTTCATTTTCTTCTCTTCCATCTCACCTCAGGTAGGAGCGACAGTAAATATACAAACTATACAATAATAGCTCAATAATACAAATAAATAACAATATCAATAAACATAATAACAATAACTTAATTAATCACAACTAATTAATAATTTGCACTCAGCATGTCCCACCTTCTCGGTGCGCAGGCTGTGCACCAGAGTGTGCCGCAGCTCCAGCCTCATTTCTGTATTTTTTTGGGATGCCTCCTCTAGCTGCTGCTTAAGACAGACAATGGTTTCGTAATCATCTGCCGCCTTGTTCTCCGCCTAAGATAACAGACGCTGATTTTTTAATGTGACGGTGCATATTGATCGAATGTTGGAGGAGTTTCGTAACGCTAGCAGTTTCAGCTCGTAAAACTCATAAGCTATGGAAACAGCAACGAAAAGAACTCTTAATTTTGCTGGGTGATGGGCCTTTGGCAGGAATGGCAAGCTATCGTTGCTGCCCTAGGTGCCGCCAAGATGTAGAAGGGTTAATGCAATATAACATTAATATATTATGTAACCGTAAAGAGTCTCATACCCATCCACGCCCATGCTGGCAACATTAAATTAAAATGAAGCTTACATATAATCATTATTGCAGCATAAAATCATAAGATTTTATAGTGTCACTTTTATTAACAGTAATAATTTTTTAATGTATCTCGTTCCTAAATGAATGAACGTCAAAGGTTTGGACCTTCCATCTCAGCTGCTGCTGCTGCTGCTGATGCTGCTGCTGCTCTTCTTGTAGCTGAATGCTGCTGTCTTCTCGTTCCGCTTCGCGAGCTAGCTCACACAACTTCATTTTCTGTTTCAAGTTGAAGTTTTCCTGAAGTAGTAATTCTGACACATATATATGGAAATTATTAGACATAAAAGCTGAGATAAAGCCAAACACATTGAACGTACTTGTATGCAGCTAGATATTAGGTTAAAACAACAACAAGCTGTCACTTTAACTTTCAACAGACATGAAAAAAACCTATTTAGTTTAAACAGGAAATGCATACGTTCATCTTAGCCTAGTACTATAGTACTATATATAGTAGAGTATAAATAGCATATCCTTAATATACAGTATATAAGGTATAGATAATACCCAAATATAATTTAACAGCTGCTAGCCACTAAGGTTATGTAGTGACCCTAGGGGTGATCACACAGACATTTCCCTGCGCGTAGAAGCGTAGGGTATTTATTGTTTCCTGGATATGCTTTGCCGACCCCTAGGAAGGGGCGAGGAACGTACTGGTGTTGACTACGGAGAGAGAGTCTGTCGTGGCTCCGGTGTACGTCTGCGTGGTCCTTTATATATGCGACGTGATCAGGCAAGGAAACAATCCACAGCATGGATGCTTATAACTTGTCTGACGACAGCCAAACATTTATTTTATAACCAACGTGCTATATAGGAGTAGACTGGTGAATATACAATCTCACCCCAGCTAACACATAACGTCTGCCCACAACCGGCTTGCGTAGGAAGGATTGTATGTTTGCGTCGGGATCGATGAATAACGTCTGCAGGCAACGTTCTAGAAACGTACCATCGGCGAAACGATTTGGGCACTCGCCACCTTCCCACAACGTTATTGTTAGTATACGTTTTAGACAACCGTTATGTTTAGTACACGTTTTACACAACGTTATTAGCGACGATCTGCGATAGACGTATATTGCTATAATAATACAGTGCATTATTATACATCACTTCGGGCGAGCGGCGCCCATAGAACTCGTATCGTTACTGAACTATTTACGACAGACTATGTCCGCCGTAATGAGAGGTTGCCCCGACTACAGCGAGCTGCATTGCCTATCTCCCGTTCCAATTGTCAGTGGCTCAGCGGCACGTTACGGCTAGCTATATAGGCTTCGACAGACTATGTCCGGTATAAGACACGTCTACGCTCCGACTAGGCGGTGCATGTCCTATCTCCGTTCAATGTCTGTGCGTCGATGGCACGTATGTCCAGGTCTCCGACATTGCGGGCCCCCGTCCTGCGCGCCAGCGCTGTCTGTGACTCGTTTTTCAAATGTTTAACTGATGAACAAAGTTTGGTTAACGCCATTAAAAGTTCTTCATTTCGAAGTCCCAGTTTAGCGATGCTGCTCTATAATATACAGATACTGAAATGACGTCTAAAGTGACGCAGACGAATATAATTTACAATCCAAGCTAGANGGCCGCCTGCTGTGGCATCCGAATTCCGGCCGCGTGCTGCGGCATACGCGGCCGGAATTCGGCGGATGCCGCAGGAATTCCGGCCGCCTACTGCGGCATCCGAATTCCGGCCGCCTGCTGCGGCATCCGAATTCCGGCCGCCTGCTGCGGCGTCACGCTGTAGTCAGATTCTGTTTCTGAGAGCACGCGGTGAAGAGCGGTCGCGTGTGCTCGAGTCTTTATATAGCGGTCACTATAGAATTGTAGTGTAGGAGCTTCAGGTAATTTAAAAGAATC